AGCACAGACACTTCGAGTCTCATGCAGCAGCACTTTCTCCTCTCCCATCCCCTGGAAAAGCACACAAAGCAGTTGTCTGCCAGCACCATAAGTAGACTCTGTTTGTTCCCATGGCTGCTTCTTCCAGAGGTGAAGCAGCTTGTCAGGGCAAGGCACCCTGATACTTGGATGGAGAGCTGCCCTTTTCACTGACAGACACACACACACAGGCACTTCTGTTCTGTCTCTTTGTCTTTATCATGTCCTGTCTCCTTCTTTTCCATTTCACACTTGTTTTTAGACACACACACACACACACACACACACACACACACACACAGGAGCTTACAGCCTGCCTGCTTTCCTGTTCGCTGAAGAAACACTTTGGTGGCCTGATCCCACATCAGATTTCAACATCTTGAGGCTTTTTCCTTCTCATCATGTCACCAACAATTTACCAACGTGCTTCCAATCTACCCCTGACAAGGAGGTTCTATAGAACAGCTGGTGTGCGCAAAAACCACGTGACCGTGCTATCGGCTGGTGAAGCTAACGGCTAACGCAAAACGGTCAAAAGTCTGGATTTTTCATTACTGTACATGTTGACAACAGAGCAGAAAAAAGGACTGATGATGTAGAAATCATAAAAACTGTTAATAATAATATTAACAAGATTATTATTAATATTTTACAGTTTATATAATCTGTCTAATGTTTTAAATAATGTCAGAAAAGCTGTTTGTGTTGTGGATTTATTAACAGTAGATAAACCGGAAAAAGTTTCATTTTACAACACAAGTCAGCAGATTTGATCTTATGTAGCTCAGTAAGATCTGACCAGAACTGAAGCTAATAATCTAACAGTTTAAAATTAAAATAATCTTATAAAGTCGATGTAATCACTGTTTATTATTTATTATTGTTTATTTATTGAACTGGTTAGCAGATATTAGCTTGTGGAGCATATATACAGAGTTTAGCTCTGTTGAATCATGCAACAATTTAACACACAAACTATTAAATATTACTTTGTCCTCTGATTAATATTTAGACCTACACAGTGTACAATAATATTATAAATTTCTGATTAATATTTAGACCTACAGAGTGTAAAATAATATTATAAATTTAAGTATTTTTAGGTTTCTGTTAGAGGAACCTGACTTGTTGAGAAGATGGTTAACTAATAGAGACAAGTTTCAACCTATAACCATAGAACATTTTCTAACTGTTGACTGGTAAATATAAATATTACTATTTTTTATGACAGTAAGAAGAAATAATAAATATACTTTATTACTAGCTGAAGTCATCATTTTTCAACTAGCTAAAGTCTAAGTTACAGGCTGACTTCAGGTCTGGATTAGATCATCGTTAYTTGTAAATTATATATTTTTCTGGTATAAATCTGCTGTTTTACATGATTGTTGAATGAAATTTACATAATTATTAATTTATTGTAAAAACATGACCGATAATCTGTGAAATAGATCCAGTTCAGTTTGCAGTTTATCTATTAGTTTCTATGGAGGCTGTGAGCCGTTGCCCTTTTAGAGTCTGTTTCTGCTCCTCCATGCTGTCACAGAGGCTACCAGTGGACGGTTTGGGTGGGACTCAGTCTAGTGATCTAAATATTTAAGTCTATGACCCCTGACCATTGATCCTTTCAAAATAAGTGGAGTAAAAGAATGCATTCAATCCAGGTYCCTCCTTTTTCCTTTTGTTTTCTGTTCAATAAATAACGCACTAGTCGTGTTAATCACTTCCAAAACCTCCAGCTGTGCTTCCATGCCAGCATCTATTTACTAACTGCTGGTGGTGTCAGTTCAGTTTTTAACAAGTAAAAAAAAAGGTTTTCATTTTCCATACGTAGCATGAATCTTTACATCCTCAGACTGGGCTAAAATGCTGTTTGATTCTCCTTATGTGGYTTCATTTAAATATAATGAGGCCTTTGTTTTTGCATTAACCACTGCACCCACTAAAATTTGTTCTACTCAGCAGTTATGCTGGCTTTAATATGACTACRTGTCATCAAGATTTAATTGAGACACTGAACAAGATTGTGGTTTTCATATTCGCTCGTTATTTTTCTCTCCCCCTCCACTGACTGATGTTTAATAATAAAGATCCATGAAGGTCACGTTGGCCGAACAGCACCTGTATCTGTTGGCCTTGTTGGGAGTTAATCTGTTTCTCTGGAGGCACCACTGAAGGTCGTGAAGAGCTCATAAAAGAGCGTGTCTGCAGAGTGACGCCTGTCAGTGCTGGCAGCTGTTCCCCGGTGTACACGCCGAGGAGAGCGGGATAATGCACAGTGTGGGTGTTTAATATTAACAGCAGGAGGATTACGGTCAAACAGCTTCCTTTCTCGCTCGCGCGTCACGGTCAGAATTCATTAGTTTATCTGCAAACCTCCCGATCATTCTGCTGCTTTCGTGTCTGTCTGTTATTCTTATGAGGCTTCTATAATCACGTTACTCATTGTGTACAATGTATGCCATATGGTGCACAAACAGTAGTCATCTGCTGTAATCCAGTCAGTGTCTAACGGGATTATCACCTGGGATCATAGAACTCCAGAGAAGCCGATGAATACTGTAGCATTCCTCTGGTTTCTGGTGGTAAGATGCTATTTTGCTTTTACAATAATTAAATAGCCCAGAGGTTAAAATCACATTGTTAGAGGGGAAAATATTAATAACACTGCTTTACTTCATGAAAAGAACGTTTCTGAAAATTCGACAAAACCAAAAGAAGCACCACAAAAAAAATTAAAATAGATAAATAAAAAAATAGTTATTTCCAAAACATGCCATTATTTTCTATTTTGATTTGCATTTTTTGTAATCAGGGCTTTACTGCTCATCCCACAAATGCATGTTCCTTACAARTATTGCACCATTTAGAAGGGAAATTAAGCAACTTTTCAATGATAGAAGATATACGTATTTATTCAAGTATAATACGAAAAATTAAATCCATATAATCATCCATAAAATTAAGGGGTAGTACTATATTCGGATAAATATTTTTACTTATGTATTTTAACTGAAATATAGGCTTCGTTCACAAAATTATTGAGTCCGGAAATGAGACCGCGTTGTAAAATCAGTTGAACCGAGCTTACCTCTGACACTCCTCCTGTTTCTTCAGAGCGAGATAGATCCAGGCAGGCGACATGATGTGAAGGGTGGGGGGGGTAGTCCTGCACCTTAGTAATGATAGCGAAATAATGACATTAGTGTGTGACCGGGCCGCTCCTTGAACAACAAAAACACATGTTCGTCTATAATGGCTGCTGTCTACCGGTGTTCTGAAAAAGTTTGTATCCTTGAAAAAATGTTTCCCCACCAGAGGGGGTGCTCGCGAATAGGAAGTAATCTGCTTTTCCCTCAGAAGATGGTCCAAATCTCATGTGAAGTCTCTGATTTCTGTGTTGGCACATCCTGGTGGACTATGTGTAAAATGCCAGAATTCATATGATGCTGCTACAGCTGATATATATTTGTTGTCAAAATACCTTTTAGTACATATGTTGTTAAAATAAAATGAACAGTCCAATGATCGTTTTACTGATATGTATAAAGACTGCAAAGGCTGAACAATCTTGAAGTCTGTATGAAATTGGAGGTAGTTTGAGGATTAAATTTTTTATGCTTTTTATAAAAGGAGGGGTCGTATTATACATGAGATCGTATTATTCATTAATAAATACGGTATTTACCAAAAAGTATTGTTACAACAAAGAAATAATCTACCAAACACAAATCTCCTTACATTCAGTAAACAGAGTTAACATCAGTAGACCCATACACGGTTACTAAAACCCATCAGGTCTGCAATAAATTTTGACATGCATTACTGTTAATGTTATAATGGCAATATTAACTGCATAATCAGACATCAGACTCGACAAAAATAGACATTAATATATTTTTGTATGCAATAACAGATTTTAAAGGAGAAATGACATTTGTTTACACAAATTTCTTTGCTTGTTATAGACGTTAAATATAATAAACTCAAATAGTTTAAATTGAACATTACAGTGTTTTTTTCTGCCAGTGAAACTAATTGTAAAATAAATAGTACAGATGTGAATTTTCCTTTTTGCACACGCTCCTTTATTTAGTATTACCCAGAAGAATGTTTTGTTTTCTTTTAGTACTAGATAGTTTTGTTCCTTTACCTTACTTTAGAAGAAAGATCAGGACACCCTTCTCCTTGGCATGAACATGCAAATTATTGGAGCATGACTAAAAAAAGAGATGGAGTGAAATGGGATTCGGCTGAAATAAGACCACACGTATCCTGAAAGCACATTATTGCAATTATCAATTTTTATGCTGTCTTTTGAATAGCTTTGTATTTTATAAATCATGTGTGAAATTCTCCATAAAGTGTTTGCTTGGTGGTTCAGGACGAACAAAAGTCTGTTGCACTACTACATTTATTACTAGGAATATTTGAAATGATCAGTCACAACCTACAGAAGGAAATGCATCACCCAGCTTTTGACCGAGACATGGAAAGTAACAAGGAGAGCCGGGTTATTAATCAGACTTCATTGATTTTACACATAATGCATGACAAAAATGGCAAACCGCCAATATGTAAGTGATCTTCCAACAATCCACAAATCAGGGTTTTCGAGGAGTTATCTTATTAAGAGGTGCTGAGGCTATTAATAAGTGTTTTGTGGAATCAGAGTGGAAAAGTTCCTCTGGTGTGCTGACGCTTTGTTTATATATATTTTTTTTATTTAATGCAGATTAGCTGTATTTTTCCCACTTCATTTTGGGTAAAACAGCCATGTATATATATAAAAATATAAAGGGCTGTTCCAATACTTTTGGAGGGGATTGTATTTTTCATTCTGTCTTGTGTTCCATCGTCTCTTGCCAGTAATCATTCATTATTTACAAATGTATATAAAATCTTAGACAAGGACAGAATCGCCTGACAAAACTACAAAAACAAAACATTCATATTATTCATATTTTCCTCTTTGTCTGCAGGGCAAAATGTGAGCGTAACCCCTGGGTAATGCTGACCTCGGCGCTGCTGACCCGCTGCCAGGAGTCAGAGGTAGACCTGGGTCAGCAGGTGGTCACCATGGTGAGGTCCCTCTATAACACCAAACACAAGCTGCCKGTGCAGGTAATCAGAYGATGAAAGTTTGTTTTCATTCTTTTAGTCTTTGACAAATAAACTTTGACAAAGATAGTTGACATTGTATTGGCAAAAACATATGAAAAAARCAGAATATATTGTTGAGGTCTCATGCCCAATTTATGGCACACCACTCTTTACTGTGTTTTAACAAATCTTAATCTAAAAAATTCCAATTATGAAACTGAAGATTTCTGCATTTGTTGCTAAACATTTAGTATGATTTTTTTAGCATTGTTTTGGACTTGTTTCTTTCAAATACTTGTTTCACCTCTGCATCACGGTGAGGACAATGAAAGCAGTTCCAACACGTTTTCAATCTATCTTTCATCTCTGGTGTTGTGGACTAAACTTGTTTAAATTCAGCACAGCTACAATGCAGCACCAGCATTTTAGCCTGTATCTTAATACAGGAGCCTAAAGCTATTAAGCATGTAACCTGCAGCAATGCGTTAGCATCAGCTCAGTGCTTTTTACAAARCATATATATTCATTGGGCCCTCTTTGATAGCTGATGTCCCTTAATGCTATTCATGCCTTGCTGAGCACCATGCAAGTAGTAAGCCAAATGTCACTCTGTGTGTCTAAGGCTAGCTGACTGTGATATTAGTTTAGCGCTAATGCTATTCAGTGTGAATAGGCTAGTGTCTGCCAGCCTGTCTGATATTAGTGTGGGAAGGGAGTAGGAGGTGGAAAAGGGGGGCCTTTTACTCTCTGCTCTGAACAGCTTTAATTTGAATCTGCTGGAATGAAACCGTCAGAGCATGGGGGGAGTCAGATTGCATCGTGTTATCCATACATTACCGGAAGGGAAGCCAGAGCCTGAAGCAGTCCTGTTCAGGAACGCATGGATAACAGTCTTYTTATAAAGTATTTAGTGTCCTATGAAATCTATTTTCTTTTGGGTTTTGTACTTTATTTTCTTTATTTGTATATCTGAATTTTATATTTTATGAAGTAAACATATGTTC